AAAGTGGTTTCAGTGGAAAAAAAGCAGAAAAAGTTAAAAAGAACAAAGGACAAGAAAGGAAGACTAAAGAATAAAGACTAAAGAAGGATTACAAACAAGAAAATAACAAGCAAGCCAAATTAATAATTTTTCTATGCCGGCTAACATTCGACGATAAAACCCTTTTCCCATTTTTCTGGGAGCCAGAGGGGGCCATGGCCCCAGCACCCCTCCCTCTGCCATTGAGAAGTAATGTTTTGTCGTATGTTCCGACAGCCGTTTGTGGTTCAAGAATCAGTTTTAATTTTTATCTTATAAAGTGGTTTCAGTGGAAAAAAAGCAGAAAAAGTTAAAAAGAACAAAGGACAAGAAAGGAAGACTAAAGAATAAAGACTAAAGAAGGATTACAAACAAGAAAATAACAAGCAAGCCTTTTGTTCAAATCTTGTGGTGTTGGTTTAATTAAACCTGCTTTCCTTCCAGTTTAGGCAGTTCAGTTAAAAAGAGAGTGGAGCATGTGGAAACTAATCGAATTCATCTCTCAGACAGCTGAAGATCTTGAATTGGGCCACTTTTTTCTTTTTTTTCCTTAGTTATCCTTAATTGGTTTGGATTAATTATTTTTTATCCTTAGTTATTTGGATTAGTTATTACTTATCCTTAGTTGGATTGAATTAATTAGTCCTTATCCTTATCCTTAGCTGATTTAGATTAATTATTCTAAATCTTAGAAGGATCAGGACCTCTTAGATTTAGTATAAATAACTTGCTATATTGTAAAATAAAATACAATTCAATGAAATAGAAATTCTTCAAATTTGTTCATTGATTAGAGAGATTGTGAAAGTGCATTCCTCTAATTGCATTAAGAATCAAGGTAAACTTATCAATTTATTTGTGGCGTTTATCTTATTCTTTTACTCTATTATTGGTGTTCTTACTTTTTAAGCTTTGGGTGCCATGGAGAGGAGTTTAGTTTGATCTTTGATCTATTCCAAATCTTGTCATAGAGTTTTTGGAATTAATTTCCATAGGGTTCCGCGTTAGTGTCTTGCCTTCAACGGCTCTAGTTGGAAGTCTATTCGTCAAGTAAAATGAAGTGTTAACTGCTTCTGTCCAAAAACATTTGGGTAGCTCCTCTTCAGCCGTCAATGACCAGGCCATCTCCATTATAGTCTGATTTTTCCTCTTTGAAACTCTATTCTGCTGTGGAGAATAAGAAACGGTCAACTGATGTTGAATATCGGACTCTAGGTAAAAATTTACAAACTGATTGGAGGTATATTCAACTCCAGCATCGGTTCTAATAACATTAAGTTGAAGTCCACTTTAGCTTTGAATGATTTAAACAAACCATACACTTGGGATTTATGATTAAGAAAATATACCTAAGTCATCCGTGAATAATCTTCAATAAATAAAAGAAAGTAAATTTTACCATTCAACGATGCCGTTTAGGTCCACATAAATCAGAATGGACAAGCTATAATTTGTCTTTGGCCCTCCATGAGCTCTTGTGTGGAAATGGTACTCGATGGAACTTGCCTAGTTGACATGCCCTACACACTTCTTTAACAGCCTCTATAGTTAACAAACCAGTTACAAGACTCTTGTCATGCATAAATTTAAGAGAACAAAAACCACAATGACCAAGTATTTTATGCCATAAAATAGACTCATCAATGGCAGTAGTTAAGGCAAAATGATTGACTGAACTCCAGCTTAAAGGAAAAGAATTGCTAGACATATTCACTTGAGCAATTTCTAAGCCAGTTGGATCATAAATAATGCACATCTTATTTTTAAAATCTAGGCTATAGTCTTTATGTAGCATCTGAGCAACAGTTAACAAGTTTTGGGCTAGAGAAGGAACATAAAGAACATCATCAATTAATTTACTACCTTTTGAAGTTTGGATCCTAACCAATCCTTAACCTTGTGCCTAAATTACTTTGCCATTGCCCAATTTAACTCTGGTTTTATCCCTCTTGTCCAAATTGGTGAACAAGGATTCATCTCTAGCCATATATCTAGTACATACACTATTTACATACCAGACATTGCTATCATCTGAGCTGAAGTAATGAGAAGCCATAAACAACCTGTCTTCAAGACTTTCACCTCCTTGATCATTTGTGTAATTAACTTGTTGAGTTTGTTGTTGCGCTTGTTGCTGATCCTCTTGCCTTTGTTTCAGTCGACATGATCTCTCCAAGTGCCCAAGTCTTTTATAAAATCTTTCATTGGATGGCTGGTCTTCCATGCTTCTGCCAACAATCTTTCTCTAAGTGATTATCCTTCTTACCGGTAGGACAAGGTGGAAATTTGCCCCTCCTTGCTGGTGCAGATATGCCTTCAACATTTTTGGGCTTGAATTGCTTCTTTCCTCCTTTTTGAAATTTATTTTTCTGCTAGTTAGCTTGAAAAACTTCTTCAACAAGTTCCTTACTCCTCATTGAGCTCATTTGTTCTTGTGCTTGAAGCTTTGAGATTAGTTCTATAACGGTCAATGTGTTCAAATCACATGACTCTTTAATAGTAGAAACTTTTGCCTCAAATTTCTCAGGTAAACTAATTACTATTTTCTCTACAATTTTCTGATTTATCAAAATTCTATCCATCAAAACGAATTTGATTAACTATCTCCATAAGCTTGGTTGAAAAATCTTTCACAGCCTCATTTTCTTTAATTTTTAAAAGCTCAAATTCCCTCTTTAACATGAGAAGTCTAACAGCCTTCACCCTTTAACTGCCATCAAACTCCTCCTTCAGTCTGTCCCACACTTCCTTTGCAATAGCACAGGCCAGTATCCTTGTAAAAATGGACCCTGTGACAGTAGAATCTAGACATGTAAGTGCCTTAGGAGCTCTGGTTACCAACTCATCATGTTTCTTCATCTCATAGGGTAGCACTTGCCCTGAGAGGAGGAATCAAAGCCTATCAGAAGCTACTTCCCACAGATTAAAGGACTTTAAGTAAGTCTTTATCTTGACAAAGCATATTGAGTAAGTATCTCCTTTGAACACGAGGACCACCAGGAGCTAAACTACTAGAAGCAATATCTAAGAAAAAAACTTCACTCTTCTTATATGAAATCCACCACACTCCCTTAAGAATCCAGCTCTGATACCACTGTTGATTTTAGAGAAGAAATAGAAAATCTGGAAAGTAGCAGGAATTCAAGAAAGAAATGGATAACAAACCAGAGAATTGAAAGTTTTCCTCACATAGACAAAGGAATAATACAATATATAACAAAACTTTATAGCAGACAAGTTTACCTAACCTTAACTTTCATTGACAAAAGATCTCCCCAAAATAAGTTGTTCACAACTTCTACATCATTTAGTTTTAGGTACACCAAGTCAAAAAATAACTGACTTGAACAAAAAATATGTAGGACATATGATAGTAATTTCAAGCCAAAATTTTAAACTTAAAACAACTATTCAACTGAAACTTTAATTTCCATGAAAAATCTCAACTCAACACATCCCACAAAACTGTATTAATTAGGAATACAAATTAAACAGAAAGTTTTACAATAAAATATTACAAAAATATATTAAATTCAATGATTCGAATTTTAATTATAAAGATGGAATTATTTATATTTATTAAATGTTATAGTTTTTTTGAAGGACATATGTCTAAATCATTTAGTAGTTTTGTTAGATGACAAATTGTCTGCTGTGCATTCTAACATAATGTTTGACAAATGACAATTTCAATACTTTATTTTCGCCTCCTTGAAAAAAATCGTCACTGCTTCGAATGCAGGCATCAACATTAACTTCATAGCTACCGGTGGGAGGCGGAGTCCAATGCTGCAGACGGGCCAATAGCTAAACACCTGATTCCATAAGTATGATAATTCATAAAAATATATATAATCTCTTACTAAAATGAACTACTTCGTAAAATTTTGTTGTATGAAACTGCAATATACATAAGATAAAGAATTTTAATTATAAAGATGGAATTATTTATATTTATTAAATGTTATAGTTTTTTTGAAGGACATATGTCTAAATCATTTAGTAGTTTTGTTAGATGACAAATTGTCTGCTGTGCATTCTAACATAATGTTTGACAAATGACAATTTCAATACTTTATTTTCGCCTCCTTGAAAAAAATCGTCACTGCTTCGAATGCAGGCATCAACATTAACTTCATAGCTACCGGTGGGAGGCGGAGTCCAATGCTGCAGACGGGCCAATAGCTAAACACCTGATTCCATAAGTATGATAATTCATAAAAATATATATAATCTCTTACTAAAATGAACTACTTCGTAAAATTTTGTTGTATGAAACTGCAATATACATAAGATAAATTTTAGTTTTACGATAATATCCATTTCATAATAAGTATAATATTTTTATATTTTAGTTGTTTTTAGATAATATATTTTTCATGAATTAATGTATAGTAAAGATTTTACTCGGTCTATATATAAATATGTTTTATGATAAAAATTTTATCCTTATGAAATCATTAATTAAATTTATGGTAGTATAAATTAATGTATATTTTGAATTACAATGATTGACAATTAAGAAATGCATCCATGTATTTATCAAATAAGCTATTTTTTAGTTTACATAGTTATAACACATATATTAAAAATATCATGTATTAATATATATGTATATCATGCATGATTTTTCTTAATTATCATGTATTATATTTTTATTTTAATATTAAATTTTATTTATTTATTTATTTAAAACACGTAGTATTAGAGTGAGATAATAGAAATATAGAATCACGGTTCTTTGAAAAATTAATAATTTTTCTATGCCGGCTAACATTCGACGATAAAACCCTTTTCCCATTTTTCTGGGAGCCAGAGGGGGCCATGGCCCCAGCACCCCTCCCTCTGCCATTGAGAAGTAATGTTTTGTCGTATGTTCCGACAGCCGTTTGTGGTTCAAGAATCAGTTTTAATTTTTATCTTATAAAGTGGTTTCAGTGGAAAAAAAGCAGAAAATGTTAAAAAGAACATAGGACAAGAAAGGAAGACTAAAGACTAAAGACTAAAGAATGATTACAAACAAGAAAATAACAAGCAAGCCTTTTGTTCAAATCTTGTGGTGTTGGTTTAATTAAACCTGCTTTCCTTCCAGTTTAGGCAGTTCAGTTAAAAAGAGAATGGAGCATGTGGAAACTAATGGAATTCATCTCTCAGACAGCGGAAAATCCTTGAACCAGGTATATACATATTTATACGTCTTCATTCTATTTCAGGATAAGGTTCCCAGTAATGCTTCTGCAGTGTATATATATATATATATATATATAAGGCGTGTATATATATATATTATATATATATATATATATAATGTTGGTTACTGATCTCTTGTAACTTCCTCTTCCTACACTTGTAGCACTTGCAGTATATATAATTTGGTACTGATCTCTTGTAACTCCTCTTCCCTACACTTGTAGCATTGCAGTACTTTATCTTACTCATTTTTAAGAAATTACAAGCTGCTACTATACTGTCCAATGAAATTTCCAACAATGTTTCCAATAATTAGAGTTTCTAACAGTAATCAATAATTTCCAAATAAAGTTTGATGCAGAAGAGGAAAATGATTCACCAGTTGATCAAGTGAGGCTCACAGTTCCTGTAACAGATGATCCAACATTGCCATGCTTGACATTTCGAACATGGGTCTTGGGGATACTTTCTTGTGCCCTTCTTGCTTTTGTGAATCAATTCTTTGTGTATCGCCAAAATCCATTATACATATCATCAGTTGCTGTTCAGATTGCTGTACTGCCAATAGGAAAACTCATGGCCGCATCTTTACCAGACAAATTAATTCGAGTTCCAGGGACAAAGTGGTCATTTTCATTGAATCCAGGGCCCTTCAACCTAAAAGAACATGTTCTTATTACCATATTTGCTAATTCAGGATCAAATCCTGTTTATGCAGTGAATATTATTACAATTGTTAAGGCATTCTATCATAGGAAGATACATGCTCTGGCAGCTTTTCTGTTAACACTAACAACCCAGGTGAGTTCTTTTCTTGTCTTTATGTAATCTATTTAAAGCTACATTTAGCTCGCTCAGGAATTGGAAATGGAACGTAATCTTCTCGTTTGATTGAAAGGAATCGAAACTATTAATAGTATTTTTGCATTTGAATAACCTTAATGCATCTTGAAATTATATTTATTTTTAATTATAATTCTTAAAATTGTTGCTATATTTCGTCTAGCTATTTTAGAATAAGATCTTTTTGGATTAGATATCCATTTCCAAAACCAACCATACATGCTTTTAATTAGCAGAACATTTTCCAAATGAGAAATTATGGTTCCATGGGCCTTCTTGATCTCTTTTTCTAGACTTGCTGTAATTAATTATCTCTTTAAGCTTTTACTAATTGCGATTATTGAATAAACCTCTTAATTGATTCAGATGCTTGGATATGGTTGGGCTGGAGTTTTCAGAAAGTTTTTAGTGGATTCACCTTACATGTGGTGGCCTGCAAATCTAGTTCAAGTTTCGCTCTTTCGGTGGTTACTTAATTATACTATATATCTATTTCAGTGTAAATTTTCAGAATTCAATTGTAAAAAAACAGAGCCTTAATCTCTCTGAACTCTTGTGCATTTTGAACTTTCAGGGCTTTACATGAAGATGAAACTAGGCCTAAGGGAGGCTTATCTAGGCTGCAATTTTTCCTTTTAGTCCTTGTATCCAGTTTCGCATACTATATCGTACCCAACTATCTATTCCAATCTATAACAGCACTCTCATTTGTTTGTTGGATATGGAAGGATTCAATCACAGCCCAACAAATCGGTTCTGGTCGTAGGGGACTAGGCATTGGCTCATTCGGCCTCGATTGGTCAACAATTTCTAGCTTCTTGGGGTCTCCATTAGCTACTCCTGGATTTGCTGTAATGAACTTGTTGGCTGGTTTCATTATTATCCTATACATTATGCTCCCTATTACTTATTGGACCAACTCCTATGAAGCGAAGCGTTTCCCTCTTGTTTCGTCTCATGTGTTTGATGCCATGGGTCAGCCTTATGATGTTAATTTAGTTCTCAATTCCTCTACTTTCTCATTCGATGAGCAAGCTTATGATAGCTATAGCAAAGTTCATTTGAGTATATTCTTCGTTTACGCCTATGGTCTTAGCTTTGCTATACTGGCTGCTACGTTGTCTCATGTTGTACTTTTTCATGGAAGGTGCGGCATTTTCCAAAATATTAAAGCTTGCAATAATAATCTCTTTAATCCTAACATAAGATGCAGCAAGTTGATACAAATTTTTGGAACCGGATGGAATTGAAAGTTTATGGAAAGTTCAGAATAAATGATATTATTATTGGAGAAGTTAATTATAAACTTTGATGAATCTGATTGTTGCTTGGCATTTCAATTTCGTAGACAAATTTGGCAAGAAACGAAGGCAACATTTGAAGATAAATTTGGTGATGTGCATACAAGAATAATGAAGAAAAATTATGAGGTTGTTCCTCAATGGTGGTTTTACACGATCTTGATTGTAGCAGTTGGATTTTCCATTCTTGCTTGCGAAGGCTTTGGTAGACAGTTGCAGCTGCCTTACTGGGGTGTGTTACTGTCAATTGGCTTAGCTCTCGTCTTTACCCTCCCAATTGGTGTACTCCAAGCAACTACAAACCAGGTATGCTCTTGCAAGAAACAACTGTTCTTAATGGTTTACTGTTAAACATTTGGCTTCATAAAGGGTAAATAGCATCATTTCATTAACTCATAAAAAAAAAAATGGAAGTCTTTGATTAAGCTAAATAAAATTTATCTTTCATTGTTTGTACTTGCTTGACGAGACTTGGAAATGCTTTGTGCAGCAAGTAGGATTGAACGTTATCACTGAGCTTATAATTGGTTACATGTATCCTGGAAAACCCTTGGCAAATGTTGCTTTCAAGACTTATGGTTTTACTAGCTTGTCACAAGCAATTATGTTCCTTTCAGACTTCAAGTTGGGTCATTACATGAAAATTCCCCCAAAGTCCATGTTTATCGTCCAAGTGAGTATATATATATTTCCTGCTGTTTTTAATTTTACTAAAGAAAAGGAATACTATCTTCTAATTCCACCAACATTCTCACATGGATATTATTGAAAATCCAATAAGACACATAAATCAATATATAATAACACTAAAAATAAGATATTCAGCAATAATCAAATTGAAGAAATCCACTAGCTTATTTCCTGTCAAAGTCACAATAATCAGCACAAAATATATTGAAAAACTAGCACAAATAGACCTAATTGCTTCTGATAATAACCGCAGCTTGTATCCTTTTTTATGTTGTTATTAAAACAGCTAGTAGGAACTGTAGTTGCATCTGCAGCCTACTTCGGCATAGCATGGTGGCTTCTCACTTCAATCGATTTCATCTGTGATGTCGAAAAGCTGCCAATAGGAAGCCCTTGGACATGTCCAGGAGATGATGTTTTCTACAATGCCTCAATCATTTGGGGTGTGGTCGGACCATTAAGAATGTTCGGTCGGCTTGGTTTGTACTCTAAAATGAACTATTTCTTCCTCATCGGGCTCCTTTCGCCGATAGTGGTTTGGGGATTTTCTCGCATGTTTCCAGAGAAAAAGTGGATAAAACTTATTAATATTCCAGTAATCTTAAACGGAACAGGGTCGATGCCATCAGCAAGAGCTGTGAACTATACAAGTTGGTTTGCTGTAGGTATTTTCTTTAACTTTGTTGTGTATAGGAAATATAGGAAGTGGTGGGCTAGGCATAACTATATTCTATCAGGTGGGTTAGATGCTGGAGTTGCTTTTCTTGCTGTTCTTTGCTATTTTGCACTACAAGTCAACGATATCAATGGACCTGAATGGTGGGGTTTGCAGTTAGATGATCATTGTCCTTTGGCTAAGTGCCCTACTGCCCCTGGCATTGTAGTTGAAGGGTGTCCTGTTTTGTGATTTGATTTCAACATGTTTTCTATTATAAATGCATTAGAACTGCCATTCTGTAAATGAATGTTATTTGTAAGGTCATTTCTGCATTCCTTATCTAAGAACATATTGGGCTTGATTTTTGTGGTTTTGGAAGTTGAGATGCTGGTTAGAATTTTTAAGCATAAAATTTAAAAAGTTTACACATTCATGTCTTCGATATTTATGCGACTCTTCTTCCTGTGGATAACTCTTCTACAGAGTAAAATAACATTTCTAGCACAACCATAGACACCAGTTGAGTTATTTTTTGAAAACAAATATAAAAAAATATCTCGTGGCAAACTTTTATTTTGACACTTAAACACTTCAATAAATAATTTTTTTTATAAAATTTGATAAATTAAAAACATATTAAATAGTTAAAAAATGTGAAACTTATTATTTAAAAATTACACTGACCATTTATCAAACTAATAATTTACATATAAAAATCAAAAATATCAAAAATACTATTGTTGAGCGAAGAAAAGTATGCAATGTTACTAAAATTCATAACTGTAACCGCACGATGAGTCTTCACAAAGTTAGAAGTGCCACGGGAGTATATTTATGCATTAAGCCCTCAAATTTCTTTTAAGTCCAATAGATCATTTGTTTTGAATCTTTTATTTTATTTTAGTTTATTTGTATTTCTTTTTCACTTAATAATTTTTTAATCACTCTAAAAGAGATTCTTGGCTCTTATAATATTCTTTTTCACAATTCACAATCTTTTATATTGTAAAAATTTTCGTTATATGCAATATTTACCCTTCATTAACGTTAATCAAATAGCTAACGTTTTGGCTAAAAAAGTGCAACCACACTGAAGATTTGCATCCACTAAACCAGAAAGAGAAGTAAAACCACAAGCAAAATGCACTCGATGAATCCAGACTTTGAAGCAGCACCACAATCATCAGCACCGGAACACACTTTTTTATCACCATATCCATGTATAACTTGGCCACCACCACGCCCACGAGCGCGGCGACCCGCACCGTGCCCTCCACCTTTAGCCGCTGTATATGCTACCATCAAACTAATTACTGCAACCACAATTAATACATTAGCAACATTGCTAATTGCACGTATTTTCATCTTCTTCAACATCGTGTCTTTATGTATGGAAATTAAGAAAATTATTTACTTTTTCTTTTAATTGGTACAAGAAGAGAGGAAGAAAGCGAGTTGATAATAACGAGTGTATGAAGATAATTATGAATTTAACGCATGCGGATAATCCATATGCTTCATTTGATGTTGCGAATTTGTTGTTTGTATTTGTTCAAATGGTTTTGAAGAAGAAAGTATATTTTACGTTTACTATTTTTATGTATTAAATTGATAAAAGTTTCCCTAAAATTCTCATTTAAAAACGATAATAATAATAATAATATAATAATTACTCAATTTAATATTTGATCTCAAACGGATAATATATGAGTCGACGGATTTTGTCCAGGGGTTAATTATATTTATGGTGTCTGAATTTTCCTTTTTTTTGTTTAGTGTCTGAATAGAAAAAAATTTATGATCGAGTATTTAAACTATTTAAAAAGTAACAGTAAATTGCATTTGGCAGATTATTTCATCAAAAAAATAAAATAGACCATTTCACTCAATAGATTGTAGAGAAAATTATTATGTAGTCACTGACGTTTGATCAAATTAACTAAGTTATTTTTGTATTTTTATAATATAATTAATTAACTAAGTTATTTTTGTATTTTTATAATATTAATTAATAGTCTTTGAAATTTAATTCCGTTAGATTAGTTGTCTTTCCATCCAATTTTTTTTTTTTATTTTTGTTATTAAATATTATTAAAATGCAAAAAGACGAGAGATAAATATTTTATAAAGACAAATTTACCGTTAATGGAATATGACAAAAATGATATTTCGATAAAAAGACGAATTTAATTATCCCTTCAAAAAATTAAAAATTAACAATAGGATCAAAGGTGTCCTTAACTCCTAAATATCTTCTCATGGATCAAAAGAGTAGATCACCGCCATCATCAACAATCAGATCTGGGCCACCACCAGGACTCCAATCAAGAACATGTCCATTACACCACCAGCACTCCTAGAGAGTCTTGTTGTTCCAGGCAAAGACATGCAAAGACTGAAGTGAAGTCAAGGGCGATGACAGCGGCGGCAGCGACAATGTTGCAAGAGCACCAATGGATCTCAACACCTAAGGCAGTAAGGTTTAAATACTGCCTTATGGCTGTGGTGTCTGCCAACTCAGTCTAGATCAACTCCAATGCTCTTGGCACTCTCTTTCTTCTCCCTTATTTCATAGGGGGAATGGTCTTAACTATCAAGCCTAGTTGAATAATTTTGTGGTATTTTTGTATTATAATTATAGATGAGTGTGAGGAAGTAACTAAAGTATATTGTTTATGTATATTTGCTTTTGGTATAGGATACTTATATTGGAAAGTCAGAACTGCAAAGTAAGCATTCTCGTTAGAGATAGCTTTTAATCTTTACCGTCTGGTGACAGTACGTCATTATCCTAAGTTTGGCATTGGCTTTCCATCCATTTCCTATAGCGATATGTATTGCAGCCTTTTGATTCTTTTACTTTTTATTTGTTTCTTAATTTGTGACAAAAAGGTATTTACACATTATTAAAATTATCGCAATAGATCTGTATGATCATATTTGCACTTTTTGTAATTTAATAATGCATTTATTTAGAATCATAGATTTAGTGAAGATGCTGATATATTTTTACCGTATTTAATAGGGAATGAATGACAAAATGATCAACTTAGGTCGCGATATTTTATTAGTGCTTTATTTGAAGTGGTGTGGCATATGCGAACCATTAGTCTGTCCTACATTTATACCCTTTCAAAAATTAAAAAGGTCATGCATTATCACAACGCGCGTAACTTATGTTAGATGCTGTAGACAGAACATTGGTTTCGGCAAATGTCGCCCCTAATCAAATCTACCGTTATCTAAATTTGTAATGCCTTCTCAATGCGAATTGATCAGATGGAAGGTTTCAGAGAGATAGAATCACTGCCCATTCCACTCAAGACATTCAAATCAGGAATCTAGTGTTGAGGCAGCGACGGAGCTTATCTCAGGATGGCCACATCAACAGAGACACACATGATCACAGTATACACCATCTCAGCTTCTGCAACAATTGAGAATTTGTCTTCGATAATTACACATTTGAAGTTATTAAAGGGATCGTAATGCCCATGGTCAATAAGGACGTTTGCGCCAAACAGTGCTGAAGTATTGGAAGGCTTAATAACGGCAAGATCGATCAGCCCGGCTCAGGCAGGTTCGCGAGCTCCATAGTGTAGCACAATGGTGCACACTTCCAAATTCCGTGCGATCATGCAACACCTCTAAAGAGTGAGCATGTTCAATAATAGCCAAAGTCTTCAAATAGTTAGTTAGGAAAGCTTAGCATCAATGCCCACAGGGGACAATGCTAGGAATGTTTGAGAAAGAAGTGCATCGATTAGATTACATAAGGTTATGCCAAAGCTTCAATAGGAAAGGACATTGGCACCAACTTGTGACGGACATTAGAAAAATATGAAAATAGTTAGGAACATTGAGATTGATCCCAAGTAGCACAGATGAGTTTGAAGTCGAGGAAAGGTCCTCTTGATTTTGCCAGTAAGATTTTAGGGAAAAAGGACTTGCTTGCATGTGGTGGTACAATCAGGCTTTCCTTGCAAACAGTAATGTGGCCATTGGATACAAAAGTACAAGTGGGGGATTTGTCATATTCTCAACTATTTTACATTACCTAGGCATACATGAGATCATCTCTCCATTGCTTGATATAGTTTTGAAGCTAAGTAGAAGTTTGGATAGTTAGCCTCCTCATGAAGAGGATGTGGGCAGGCCCAGAGAACAGCTGAGAATAGGAGGAGAAGGACCTGATGTGACAAAATAGTATTGAGCTCAATATGTAGGTGTAAAGGTGGTCAATTGGGGCCACAAACAAAAAGACCTATTCAAATCCCAACTTCAAACTCAGCAGGTATTTTATATATTATTTTTTTCATTACATGCTTTTTAAGTTTCCTACTTGTAAGTCACTAATATACATTTTTTGGCATATAGAGAAGAGACAAGTAGCAACTTACTACAACTCAGCAATTGCAAGTTCCACCCATCAACTGCAGTAGGAATCATAGCAGGAGGTCCATCCATGAATGATATTTCTATAAATCAACACAACGAACTTCTTTTTTTGTCATGCTGCACTATGATGTGTTGAATTGCGTCTTACACATTGAGAGAGAGGAGAACGAGATTTTTGTACTCTACCAATTTGTATGCTTTTTTGGCAATTTCAGGTCCTCTGAATGTAGAGCACATTTAAGATAATCGTTTATAAACACTTTTTGCCATTTTAGTGTGCTTTTTGTTACCGGAAAATTAGCTCTAACTATTGACGAAACTTAATATCAACGGATAATGACGCTTTGGTTTATTTATTTCAAATTTGCACTTCTGTTATTAATTTCTCAATGTGAATGTCAATCTAAGTAAAACTTTTTTTCTTCGATATTTCATAGTTTTTATAATGAAACAAATTATATTTCAATAACTCAGACATGTTATTATTAAATTGTCTAATAAACCTTACTTTCACTAAGTAAACCACCATTATTAACACAAAGAAGGAACTTAGGCATTGAAAATGCAGTTACAAAATAGCTGAAGTTTACAACTGCTACCTATCCAAAATAAACTCTTACTTCAAAACCAACACTGCTAACTACAAACAATGCTTGCAATTGCCAGGCCAGTTTCAAATTATATACAGGTTTATCTAAAAACAACTACTGCCTTATGGCTTAGTCCAGGCTGTCCACATGCAACCAACTCAAGCTCTTTCTAGAATTCATACATCTCACAAGCATCTTTCGGACCTACTCTCTATTCCTTCCTCCACTCTCAATATTCATACTTCTAACAGAGTGCTACTACCTTAACCTCCATCTTGGTACTTAAATTTTTCACTGTCTTCTTGTGACAAAACACGACCGGAAGACTTTAACGTGTTTATATTTTGATTATTCTTTCCTTATAGATAAAGCCACACCTTCTAA